CAGGCCGCGGCGGGAAATTACGCTCTGTATAATTAACCATTAATTAGAGAAAAATAGTCAATGCACCTTGAACTGGCAGCGATGAACGGCAGCGTTTAGACATTTCTTGCTTTTTCACTGAAATCTGGACAAAACCCAGGAGGCTTGAAATCCTGACCAAACAAACTGTGTGAAGTATACCTAAAAACCAGTAACTGGTACATCTCCGCTTGGGGCCGAGGGGAGTCCTCCGGCTTTGTTGGTTTTCCTGATTTTGTTAAGGCTGTGGAAGGACTTGCAACAGGCGATAAAGCATGGAACGTGTGGGTGGCAGGGGCGTTTGTGAAAATACCCTCCGGGCCACGGTGTCTTCGCGGGCTCTTGGTCGTGATCAGAAAGGCTGATCTAAAATTGACATCGCACTGGAGGCGTGGGGCGTGCTGTAATCCTGCGTTTCAGTGTAGCCCCGTGGATGGAGAGGGCTGCTGGGAAGGTCAGTGCCTGGTGTCCCTCCTGGTATTGATTGGGGCGTAGCTCAGGTGGCTGTGAAAATGTCCACGGCTCACAAAGGAGGGCACTGAGAGGAACGTGTGTGGGTGCATGAAGGCATGGAAGGGCAGAGAGATGGGCCTAGGAGGGACCTTGAGCCTTTGGACCTTGGGTTGTATGGGGAGAGAGATGGGCCTAGGAGGGACCTTGAGCCTTTGGACCTTGGGTTGGGTGAGGAGAGAGATGGGCCTAGGAGGGACCTTGAGCCTTTGCAGCTTGTGTTGGATGGGGAGAGAGATGGGCCTAGGAGGGACCTTGAGCCTTTGGACCTTGGGTTGTATGGGGAGAGAGATGGGCCTAGGAGGGACCTTGAGCCTTTGGACCTTGGGTTGTATGGGGAGAGAGATGGGCCTAGGAGGGACCTTGAGCCTTTGGACCTTGCATTGAAGTGCCAAAACTGTACCTTGTGTTTTTGGGACCTAAGTTACACATGCCCCCACCCTCCCCAAAATACCTATCTCCAAGAGACTTGGAGACGTAGATCCACAGGGCCCAAACAAATCGCTGGCGGCTTGCAGGCATGCTCCTGCTGGTGCTGGGGGAAGGCTTTCCAAGGCAGTTGGTTGGGATGGGTTTGGGATAGTCTCATATTTGGACTTCCCTGTGGTAGGGGGGATCCACAGCAAAAACGCGCCAGGGCTGTTTGCCAAGTAGAAGAATGGTGAGGGCAGCCAGGTTTTGGTGATCACCCAAGACTTGATGTTCATTGTCTCATGCGACCGTGGTTGCCTGACTTTTAACCCGCTGCTTTCCCGCTTGCTTTCAGTTGTTGCGTGACGTGGAAAGCACACGCATGATGAAGAGGAGCTCTTGGCTCTCCTAATCCTTTGTTGGCGATTTGGAAGCAGCGACCGCCGCGCCTGCTCTTCCGCCATGTCTGGATCTACGCAGCCCGTGACGCAGAGCTGGCGTGCCACCGAGCCGCGCTACCCCCCGCACGCCATGTCCTATCCGGTTCAGATTACTCGACCACATGCGGTAAGGCAAGAGACTTTCCTTCCCTGCCCGCTTGCGGGGTGGGAGCTGCGTGGGGCGTCCCCGTCGCTGGGGCAGCGGCTCAGCTGCGCCGGTCTCGGATGTGGCTGTTACAGAGAAATCAGACCGTTTCCGTGCCTGTGGTACGGGATTTCATCGTTCCTCTCTTGTGGGATCCTCTTTTGTTTCTCCACATGATGCTTTCAGCTTTTCTCTCCATTTCCAGCCTCTTCTCGGCGCTTGCCGTGCTTGTGGGCTGTGGCTCGGCACTTCTGAGCACCCGCGTTCCGTTGCCTCCTGGGGAGAGCACCCTTGGCTGGGTGCCGCAACCAGCTTGGGGGAGAGGGGAAGCTGGGCCATCCGCGTGGAGCAGGAGCACGTGGCCTCCAGCCTTCTCCGGCACGGCCTTTCCTTGGCGCTGAATCACAAGGGAAGGAGCGTCCTCTCCTGCGTGGGGCTTGCCGCTTCCCGGCGAGCCCGCTCCGTGCTCCTCACACCCGCAGGAGAGCTCTCCTGATTGCCAGGCCAACTGGTGGGGGTGATCCCACCACCAGCCCCTTGGTCAGGAGACCTGCCCCTCTCGACGGGGCGCTCTGGCTGCTGGTGGCACTCCTGGGGAGCAAGAAGAAAACGGAGCTGCTGGGTTTTTTCCATTTTATCCTTCCCCACTTTTTCCCCCTCTTGCCTCTGACCCATCGTCTTGTCGTGGATCAAGGCGTAAGCCGGTGGTGGCTTTTTGTTGGCTGTGTTTTGTGGAAGGCACCGGAGCTTGCACGGGTTAATTCACCTGGATCCAACCTCTCCCTGCTGCGCCGTGTCACTCATGCCTGTGCTTGCTCATCCCGAATGGTGGAATGTTGGAGGTTTAAGCCCTTAACGGAAAAACTCTCCTTAGTGGAACAGCTTTAGTCAGCTCAAGCTGCTGAAATGAATCCCATTCGGTGCTGGAGTGTGGCACGTGCTGGGAAGGCTGCTCCTCGGGGTCGCTGCTCGGCAGGGCGCAGCGAGGTGGCCGCACTGGGAAGGTGCCGGTAACTCGAGTTGGCGAGGGGACCTTGTCTCGGGGTTATGTTGCTGACAGCTGTTGGGCAAAATGCCTGCTGTGAAGATTTGAGGGTTTGACTGGAAAGCCTGGGAATCCACAAAGCGTGAGCGAAGGGGTGAAATTCCCTCGTCTGCCCCCTTTGCTAGGCTGGAGCAGAGAGGTGCAGGGAGCAGAGCCGGAGTTTGGAAAGGCCTGGCGATGGAGACGTTGAGGAGGCGCAGGACGAGCTGTCGGCTCTGTTAGCTGTTAGCTGGCTCGTCCAGATCGCTCGGGGCCTGCGTGCTTCCGCACAAAGGAGCTTTTCATCCCGGGGATGAGACGCGCTGACCTGGTTCAGTTTCTGGGAGTTTTGCTTCCATCAGTGCGAGCGTGTTTGTCTGGGAGGTGGGACGGAACGGGAGCGTTTGTCTCAGAAAGAAAATCCCGGTTCCCTTTTTATCAGAAACCCAAGCAGGAGGAGGACGTGACCAGGTGAGCAAGATGCTCAGTTGTTGCAAAGCTGTGATTTAAAACCAGAGCAGAGGAACCTCGATACCCAACGCAGAGACGGATTTTCGAAGAGCGCGAAAGGCTCCTGGCCTTGGGGTGTGGAGTCCTCGTCTCCCGCAGACCCCTGGTGCTTCCCCTCAGCGTCGCACCCACAGAATGAACCCGGCAGGGCAGCTGTTCCGAAGTCAGATGGAGCTCTGGGTGTCCCCAGACTGCCCCGCTCTCCAGCTAGCGTGAATACTGTTCTTATTCTACCCTGTTAATGTTGGAAGAAGTTGCTGGCATTTGCTTCTAGAAGCTATTTTTACAGCCGCATGTAATCTTCCGGAGTTACGTGATACCTTTTTGGTGTCTGCGTGCAGGAGAGGTCAGACTGGAGTTTTGGGGTGGGGTTTTTTTGGGGGTGGAAAGCCGAAAGAGTCCCCTGGACAGAAGCATGCCAGCCCCGCGCCAACGCCAGCGCGCCTTGCCTCTCCTCGGCAGGG